AGTGAAGCTAACTCTAGCTCATTCTAGCTTTTATGTCACTGCCTACAGGAACCTTTTCTCTACCAGCTCCGGGTTAAGCGCCCCTCCCACTGCACCTTGTACTTGGCCCTAACAGCAGACTTTATTACCTGCTCATGGAGGTGTTTTCCCCACTCACTGTAGGACCCGAGGGCAGAAACAATGCCGCTACATTCACATAAAATTATGACTCACACTTCATCAATGCTCAATAGTTGCTGGCTGAGTAAATAACAAGGGCTGTTGCCTGCCCAGCAGCATAACACTGATGTTTCTTTCAGCCCTGTAGGCAATGTTTCCACCATGTGAGCCCCCAAAAGCAGGGAGTTGGCTAATGACACAGACATGGCATGACCGTGTTCAGAGATAAGAGGAAAATCTTCCACAGCCAGAAACCCAGGAGAGGTGGCGTGTTCACTCTTTTCCAGCTGTTGAGACTGGAGCCTTTGTGTTGAACACCTATTGAAAATGAAGAAGCAGGGCGGGGCCCTGTGGCATAGTGGTTCAGTTCAGAGCGCTATGCTTCAGTGGCCTGGGTTTGCGGGTTTGGACCAACACCACTCCTCAGCCATGCTGTGGCAGCGACCCACATACAAACTACAAAAAGATTGGCACAGTTGTTAGTTAGCTCAGGGCAAATCTTCCTCACCAAAAGAAAAAACAATCCAGTTGGAAGATGATAATGGATTGGGCCAGGGCAATAACAGTGAGGTGAATAGAAGTGGTTAGATCCTGGATACTCTGTAGAGTCAACATTTACTGTAGGATTAGATGTAGGATATGAGTGACAGGAGTGGAGAGTATAATCTCCTTAATTTTGCCAAATGGATGAGTACAAATTTACATCTTATTGCTTTAATTTGCATTTCCCTAACTACTAGTGAGGTTAGCATCTTTTCATGTTTTGGCTATTTGTATAGTTTTCTTGAGAAGTTCCAGTTTTGTTTTCTGTTCCTTTCCTTTGGTTAATGCTTGATTTCCTTACCAAAAATTTTGCCCCTGGGGTAGCTCTGCTAACTATTTATCCAAACTCTGAGATTAATTTCTCATTTTAGAAATATAGCATTGCAGAGCTGGTAGGTTACACAGGATTACTTTCTCATAAATGAGAAAATTGGGGCTCAAAAATGTTAACTGGAGCACAAAAAGGTTAGCTGAAGCTCAGTTGAGTGACTTATTCAAGGTCACCCAGCTAAGTGTTGGAGCTGTTATTAAAATTTAGCTTTCCTGATAACCACTCTATTTCATTTTCCATCTGCTACACCACCTTATTAAGAAAGCTGTTTTACCAATAAAACTGAGAGCCAACACACGCATCCCCACGAGGGCTCAAATTTGGACAGGAGAGTTAATCAAAAGGAATGTCAATACAAATTTACTACCGAGGCTAAGTAGCTAGACTTGCATTGCTTTCTTCCACTGTAACCTTTGGAACAGGAGACAACAGGCAAGGTATCTTCCTTGCCCGGCTCCTCCAGTCCCTCAGTCCTGCCAAGATCAATAATAACTCCCCGGGGGTGGGGCGGGGGGGGTGCTCCTTTCTGGGTCATTACTGTTCTAACTTGCTTTAGTCAATCCACATGGGGTATTAGGGTTTTATATTTTTCTTACTCTAATAAACCAACCTTTTAGCTTAAGGGACAAGAGAAAAGGGCTAAGACCAGCTTATCTTAGTGAAGAAGCAACTGGGAGAATTAGATCATGGCAAGCCAAGTCTTGCCGAGTGTGTCCTGCACAGCAATACGTCTGTCTCACCCAGGGCCTGGGATCCTTCTCGGAAAAACCCAATGTGGGTCCAGCAAACAGGCAAGAGGTTCTACTGAAATAACAAGCAAAGAGTAGTAAGAGGATCCACCTTGGCCAGTCTATTTTAAAGCAAGAGGAAGATCAGAGAGACGGGAAGGGAAGTGATGAGGGCACATATTTAGAGAGGCTGACTGCTGCTCCTGCTGGGCTCAGTGTGCGCCTACCTTCCCCCTTTCAAAAGCATCACAAAGGCCTTCTTCAAAAGAGCAATTTAGGCCGGCTGTGGAAAATTTGGAAGATATAAGAATATTATAACCCTCCAGCCTTTTCTGTGCATGTACATACTCTGCATACAAAAAATATTGGTAAAATGCTATGCATACTGTTTCTAAGCTGTTTTTCTTAGTTAACGTGTTGAGCATTTCTTCCAATTCTTAAATATATCTCTAAAACATGATTGATAGTGCTATACAGTATTTTATTACATGAAATATTTTTGTCAAACAAGCCCCTTTTGTTAACAATGTTGATGTTCCTAGATTTACATTCTAATAAATTTCAGGTAGAGGTAGAATTACCAGATCAAAGACTATTTCTTTAAAAAGAAAAAAAAATTCAAGCATTCGTTCTTTTTTATAATATGACTTAAAAGGATTTTCAATGCAAAAAAATCAGAAATACAGAAAAGCACAAGTAAAATAAACATCAACTATAATCCTATTATTCACATGTTGTACATTTATCTTTCTAGTTTTTAAAAAATATATGTAAACATTTATACAATATTAGTTACCATGCATGGTTTCATGAGATTTTCTCATTAAATACTGTATAAATACAGTATAAGTATCTGCTCATCTGTTTTTCCAAAACATGACTTTCAATGGTAACAGTTTTCCACTGTATGGTTATGTCATACCCACTAGGATGTAAGCACCACAAAGGTGGGCAGTGTGCAAAGAACAGTGCCTCTTACATACACCAGTGCTCAATAACCATTTATTGCACAAATATATAATTTGTTTTTTCAGGAAGATTAGCCCTGAGCTATCATCTGGTGCCAATCCTCCTCTTTTTGCTGAGGAAGACTGGCCCTGAGCTAACATCCGTGCCCGTCTTCCTCTACTTTATATGTGGGATGCCTGCCACAGCACGGCTTGATAAGTGATGTGTAGATCTGTGCCCGGGATCCAAACTGGAAAACTCTGGGTCGCTGAAGTGGAGCGTGCGAACTTAACCGCTGCGCCACCAGGCCAGCCCCCGAATACATGAATTTAATCAACCAATTCCTTGTTGCTAACTATTGATATTTCAAACTTTTGCTATTCCAAACATTGTTACAAAAAATCTTGAGGACAGCTCTAATTACTTCTTTAGACTCAACTCCTACAAGTGAAATTTATTGGGTCAAATGGTATACATTTTAAAACAAAATTAGGATGACCATATAATTTATCACTAACGAGATCACTTCTGAGAGGATAAGGGGACCTAATGCAGGACTGCCCTGGTCAAGCTGGGATGTCATATGATGCCAAACTGTGTTGAAGAGGTTACAGCAATTTACCTTCCCACGAGCAGAGTATTAGAGCGCCAAATTTCCCCAGGCCTAACTTCTGTGACTCTACTCTTGATCCACATACATCCTAGATCACACTGAACATCCACTCTGGCATTTCTGGTATAAAATAATAAAGAAAATCTTCCCCTTGGTCCCTTCTCTTGCTTCCAGGTTTCCTCCTAGGCGTCGGCTAAGTGTGTGTAAAAGGCCAGATCGTATCTTTTAGGCTTTGTAGCCTATATGGTCTCTGTTGCAATTATTCAACTCCGTCATTCTGGCATGACAGCAACCACAGATAATCTGTAAATGAATTAGTGTGGCTGTGTTCCAATAAAACTTCATTTGACACAAATTTGGACTTCATATAATTTTCACGACACAAAATATCCTTCTTTATATATTTTTGCAACCATCTAGAAATGTAAAAACTATTATCAGTCAGTGGGCAGTATAAAAACAGGAGGCGAGTCATAGTTTGCTGACCTCTGACTTAGAAAATGGCTGGTAGACAATTAAAATAAACCCAGGGGGATGATCCTCATGTAAATGTAGAAAAATTGCCCATTTTTCCTTTTTCCTGAATTGCATGATTTTCTGCTTACTGTCAAAGTAGAGCTGCACTATATACATCTTCAACTACATGTGCCTCACACACACAACTATAAATAAAAATGAGAGAGAGAGAATTTAACTGTAAACACTGCTCACCAACCCACTCAATGAGCACATCCCTAAGGAAGCCTGGGCTGGGAGAGGAATCCGCTGTTCTCCTGGCTGGCCTCAGTTTCCACATGCTTCTCACAGGATACAGATCTTGCTTCATGGTGTGTGAGTTTACAGTTTGAATCTGCATTTTTTTGTACAACACTGCCCCTAAACACAAGCCAACACTTTTATTCGATACTCAACTAAACAAAGAGCAATCTGTTCTAATGCTGAAGGATAAGCTGACTGTTTGATTTCCTAAATAACAGGATGTCGGTTTCCAATGGGTCAAATATAAGGTACATTATGGAATTTTTCCAGTGGTAATTTTAATTATATAAAACTTTCCTATCATGCACTAATTTTACAGCCTAGTTACACATAAGGGATGAATCCATTAATTTGTATTCCTTAAAAAAAAAGCACTTACCAAGGATTACAATATGAACTCAATTTTCAATCCTCATAACAAAAAAAAGGCAGGACAGAAGAGAAATTCAAATTCAGCAAGTTACGTCCCAAGGAGCAGGTATCAAAGTGGCTTCCAGCCAATCATCCACACATAAAGCTGGGACGCCTCTAAGAGTACACGTAAGAAAATATTGGCACATGTTTCTAGAAAGGAGCACTCAATTCTCTTTTATCATTTGAAATATCACTATTCCTCTAGGAAGATGGTAGTAAATATTATCTTCATTTTATGAATGAGGAAACCGAGGTCCAGAGAAATGTAATGTAACTTAGCCCCGGGGATAGTGGGTTGTCAGTGCTTCATGCAATTTCCAAGCTGTCTACCATCAAAGAAGACAGCAGTGACTGGAATATCAAGGAATATTCTCTCCTGGGAGATAGCCACAAATACTTAGGGCAGAGCAGGAGTCTGCAGGGCAGAGACAGCTTAGAGGGCTCCAATAGCATGAACAATACAGCAAGCAAAAATAGGAAAAAAACTAATCTCAGATACACTGACCCTCAGACAGATACAGATCTTTAATTTAAAATCAAGTAAGTTTATTCAGGGAGAAAACAGTTACAAAACACCCTTGGGGCTTTTTTACTCCAACAATTAAAACTGCATTAAAAAGTCAAAGGAAGAGTTTAGAGATCTAAAAAACATCTGGAGAAACTCCTCTTTCCCTTTCCTTGGGTTTTTATATACATTTACCTTTTAGGCAAGAGAGAGAGCTGGATTAATTTCTTTTCTAGGGGATGAGATTTCCAGTTCCATTGTTGTAATACGTATAGGATTCTTCTGTGAAGGCCAGAAAAGATGGAAGAGAAGATCAAGGAATTTGACGTTGACTGGAAGAATTAAGAAGGTGAGGCAAATGGTTGGCTCCTGGAACCAAAATTTTACCACAAATCACCAGATGGGGTGGAGGGAAGGGTATTCTGTTTCCCATTAATAAGATCTGAGGTATTTAAAGACTCCATGGACATGAAAACACTTCTGCCTGCCTCAGAGAAAATGGCAGAGGCTGAGAAGGCTGTTGTGGACGGTCACATCTCCTTGGACTTCTCACATACATTAGTGCCATGACTGGACCATGTCAAACACTTCTTTGAGCAAGCTGGCTAATCAGTTTATTCTCCAGAATGGGTTCCAAGGCAACAGTGTGATCAATGATGAGTTTTTCCCCGTCTCTGTTTTTGGCTTGTATTGGTGCCAAAGTCTATGGCAATACAAAACAGCAAGGTCATTTACTTACAAGACCCGCTTGAGTCAAAGAATGGGTTCTCCGAGTCTCAGCTGTCAGGGTTTAACCTAGCTCGTTTTACTTGGCTATTCTCGTCATCCAAACGGCAGACACCTTCTGAGGTGATGTCTCTTTTATTCTCCTCCATGGGTTCCAAAGGGAAGTCCTGGTCTGTGGCCAGCACCTGTCGGACAGTCATGTTAACACGAGCGGTTTTCAAGTAGCTGGCGCACACCTGCCAGTCTTCCACAGAACAGGGCTCTACCACTGAATCTCCAGGGAGGTCAGCCGGGAGAGGTGTCTCTAGGCAGCAAGGCAGGCTTTCCCCCGTTGGACTTGGAAGGACCCTCGGGACTGCATGGTTCAACAGGCGGCTGAAACCTGACATTACCATGATGTCACCACTGTGCATAAACATGGCTGTGGGGGCTTCATCTCTTTTGAGGCCACCCAGGAGAAAGATGGCAGACTGTCCAAAGCTACAAAAAATAAGTAAAACAATATACAATTGTAAGTTTCTGTTACTAACCATGGTTGGGAAAGTATTGCCAACTGCATTATTTTCTAATTTCAGCTTAACACTCATTGCTCCCAAATCCTCCTTTTAAATTTTATTATTATTTAAAAATTACTATTATTTTCTGAGGAAGACTGTCCCTGAGCTAACATCTATGCCAATCTTCCTCTATTTTGTATGTGGGACACCACCACAGTGTGGCTTGATGAGTGGTGCTAGGTCTGTGCCTGGGATCCGAAGTTGTGAAACCTCGGCTGCTGAAGTGGAATGTGCAAACTCAACCACTATTCCACCGGGCCGGCCCCTCAAATCCTCCTTTTTAAACTATGCTAAGATCTTTCTCTTGTGGCTTGTGTCTATGAGTGACCAACCCACAATCAGCTACTTCAACTTATCAGAGCCCACGGGATTGCTGAAAAATAAAATCTGAAGCAGTTAAAATAAACCAATTAAAAACTCAGTTTCAACATTACCTATTTAAGTTTTACTGATGCATCTTTAAGACAAAGTCTTCCAATAAAATTATTTGAGTCCTTTACTATATTTATCATTCTTGTTCACTTTAAAGATAAAGCAATTAATAAAAGATTCTGCCACGTGCTTTCTTTGTGAGATACAGGTGCAGTACTTTGCACAAATTTAAAGTTATGGGTAGGGAGGCGAGGACAGTAAACTATTCAGGCTTCTGTGCTGTGTTCTTCTCTATCCCAAAAAGCCTGCTCACTTTGCCTGTGGCCTCCCACTTGTCTCTTCCACAGACACTGACAAGACCTCTCATCACAAAAGGCAGACTCCATGCAATTTAAACAGAAATATTAACTATAATTTGGCCATTACTCTTAAAAGACTTGGATACTTTTACTTACAATACATTGTTAAGATGCCTAGAAGTCCAACATTTTTGAAAGTTTAATGTTTTTACTTTCTCATTTTAGCTTGAAAATGATTTAGAAACAGGAATGAAGCGATAAACAGTAATCCCAAACCCCTAGAACTTACCTGAACGACAGCAGCGGTCTGGAGTGATCCAGCTCAGATCTGTCGACGTGGATCCCCAGCGTGGAGTCTAATCGGTAGTAATTCAGGATCCCTGCTTCGGCTCGGAAACCCTGAAACCCACAGGCAGCAGCCACTTGCTCTGAGAGGAAAGCCAGGTCAGAAGGGAAAGGTGTATAGTGATCTGCTGAGTATTTCTTTGATAAAAGTAGGGAAAATAAGAAAAATAAACAATGATCTCAGGAAAACAGGAAACTGTGGCATAAGATTAATTACCACTTTAAATCATCTAATTTACATGTCATATTAACATAACATGATTTATCCACCCGTTTTCGAGGCATCCAGTAATCTAATCATGAGCCATTCAAAATCCCGGCACCTGTTATACGGCAGCACTGGGCTATGCAGCGATGAATTAGACAGACTCACCCTGCAAGGAGCCTACACCCGAAGCAATTACTACACCTCTCTCCAGTGTACTTTAATCCCAAACAGCATAGTTCTCCTAGGTAAAAAGGCAACTCAAAACTGTCTAAGGAGGACCAGCCCCGTGGCTGAGTGGTTAAGTTTGTGCGCTCTGCTTTGGCGGCCCAGGGTTTCACTGTTTCGGATCCTGGGCGTGGACATGGTACTGCTCATCAGGCCATGCTGAGGCAGCGCCCCACATGCCACAACTAGAAGGACCCACAACTAAAATATACAACTATGTACTGGGGGAATTTGGGGAGAAAAAGCAGAAAAAAAAACTGCCTAAGGAAACACGACACCTAAATGTAACGTGGTGCCCTGGAAAAGGACAGTAGTTAAAACCTAAGGAGATCTGAATCAAGCATGGACTCCACTCCTACGATAATGTATTACTACCAGTTCACTACTTGAGACAAAGGTACCATACCAATGCATGATGGTAACAACAGGGAGAACTGGGTGTGGGGTATATGGGAACTCTCTGCACTGTGTTTTAAACTTTTCTGTAAACCTAAAACTATTCTAAAATACAAAGTTTATTTTTTAAAAGAAAGGCAACTCAAATACTATAGCCACTTTGGTTTTCAACCCCTCAGCCTGCAACATGGCCTCGTGCCTATTTCACTGGTCAATCTGATGGGATGACACTCAAAATATCTGAATTGAAACTTATACCATGGTCAAGGTAGGACCTTAAAATGGAAGTAATTTTCAGCACTTACCTCCCTGAACTGCCTCTATTTTTAGCACCTGAGAATCACAAATCTCCTTTTTCTCTAAACAAACAAACAAAAATGCCCAAAGACCAGAACACCTACTCTTCAAAATGTATACAATTCCTGAGAAGGACAAGGCGCAGCCTTCTCTGCAGAGGAGTCCGAGGGCTCGCTGGCTGTGGAGGCCTGCAGCACCGGACATCCTCCCCTGTCTGGAGGCTCCTCTCTCACTGCTCCCTTTGCTCAGTCAGCCTCCAATGTGACTGGAAAATCCACTTTTGTCTCCTGTCTCTACTCCTGTCCTGATGTACTCCAGCTGGAGCAACAGCCACAGCTGTGGAGAGAACGTGTTTACTTTGGCTGAAGTGAACTTTCACTTCAGGTGTCTGTGAAAGGAAAAGTGAGAAGTCTTGAAGGCATGGTCAAGCCTTTTCAGTTGGAATCTTTATTTTTTTCTTCTCCTTTTCTTGAACTGCAAATAACAAGAGCTTATCTGATTTCTCAAAACTAAGGGTGAGGCTGGAGAACTTTGCAGTTTTCTCTACCATTTCACACTTAGTCTTTCAGAAGATCGGCCACTCGGGGCCGCTGTTCCAGCACTAGATGGCCTCGCTGGGATGAATTAATTCCCTTTGCGGGCTTTCGATCCTATTTAAACTGTCCATGCACTACTCTTCTTTCTTAATTCTCTTTCACTTTTCTCTGATTACTCATTCAGAGTTTTTGATAATTTCCACTCCAGGTTTTTCTTAGTAAAAGAGGCTCTAACTTTGAGGTCCTTGAGGAACAATATCAACATTGAAAATAGTATCATAAAAAACGGTAAGCTAACATTTACTGTGTTAGTGTACTTAACTACTTAGGACAGCCAGGTACTGTTGTAATCACTTTGTAGGCATTAATCATTAAAGTGTCACAATCACTTTATGAGGTAGGCATGATCCTTATTGAAGGAGGATTCAAACCCAGGCTGCCTAACCCAAAGAAAATCACACGGCCATTTCCCCAAATACAGGTATCCAGATTTCCATTAAGTCTGTACTGCTGAAAAGAAGAATCACATCAGACTACTTTTGAGCACTATTTATCATTACTTTGAGCAGTTAATATGTTTGTTAATAGCTGAGTTGACTGAAACGATAGAGCTTTTAAAGATTTTATTGTTTCTCCTTTTTCTCCCCAAGCCCCCGGTACACAGTTGTGTAGTTTTTAGTTGTGGGTCCTTCTAGTTGTGGCATGTGGGACAACGCCTCAGCATGGCTTGATGAGCAATGCCATGTCTGCGCCCAGGATTTGAACCGGCGAAACCCTGGACCACTGAAGCAGAGCGCACGAACTTAACCGCTCGGCCAAGCGACTGGCCCCGATAGAGCTTTTAGAAAGTAAACTGCTTAGGAGGAGGATGGTCTCTACCAATCTGTTAAATTCCATTTTCTCTTAGGATTAGTCCTTCCGCTTGGCAGCAAACACCTCACTGAGACAAGAGGCATTGTGCTGCCAGTGACAAAGGAGGCATTTCCTGAAGCTTAGAGCTCAGGAAAGAAGAAACTGTATGAAAACATGGAACTTTGTTAACTGTAGGACATTCTTTCCCAGCTCTCTCCTGCTCAGATCTTAGAGAGCAGGCAAAGGGATCTAGATCTTGAAAGTTCTTTTTTGAGTTGATGAAACAGAACATCAGAAGTATACGGAGGTTCTTTTACTCCAGGCAGACGTTAAGTAGAAAACAAATGCTCAACAAACACCAAACAATAATGGAAATAAAGATTATAATTGAGAACTGCTCTCAAATGCAGTTAAGAAAAATCTATATCCCTGAAAGCTACTTGGAGAAAGCACTGATGACTTCCAATGACATACGACCTGGGGGCACACGAAGAACTACTTTTCTCTTGCTAAATTATTCACTCCTCTTGAGAGACTGTATCACGAGGATTTTAGGAGGGAGTAAATGAACGAGAGCCTTCCACAAATGCATAATCTGATACTTTAAGTTTGGCCAGGAAGAAATCCAACTATGTGGGGCCCAAGAAGCATAAAAATGGAAAATAATGGAATTAGCAAGAAAATTTGAATACCTTACTGTCCCAGTTATAGTGGTAGCCTAGGGTCACCCAGCGCAGTTTCTCTAGTAAACTTCGGGGTCTCCGTTTATTCACTTCTTTACACCTGCAAAGATTGGAGACAAAGAGGACTTATTCATCTCAAATGGAAGCCATGGCCTTTTGAAGGACCTTGGCATCTAAATTTGGTATTCCATCGTATAAACTGTTAGCCAAGATCTTGACAAGGGAAATTAGAACAGATAAATGAGTTGACCAAGAATATAATACTAAAAAATATTTTAGCATTTCTAATTTCTAGTCCTTGGTTCTAAATCCTTTGCTAAATGTGATCAATTTTATTTATTTATTTATTTTTTTGAGGAAGATTAGCCCTGAGCTAACTGCTGCCAGTCCTCCTTTTTTTTGCTGAGGAAGACTGGCCCTCAGCTAACATCCACGCTCATCTTCCTCTACTTTATACATGGGATGTCTACTGCAGCATGGCGTGCCAAGCGGTGCCATGTCCGCACCCGGGATCCAAACCGGTGAACCCCGGGCTGCTGAAGGGGAATGTGCGCACTCAACCACTGTGCCACCGGGCTGGCCCCTAAATGTGATCAATTTTAAATGGCAAGTTTTCAGCATCTCAATAATGGTAAAACAAGAATGACAACAGAAATATCTTAACCCATTCATGGAAAATGGGACCAAGAGCACTATGGGTAATGGAAAATTTGGCTAACAGAACATGTTCGATTTGGTTTCCTAAAAGTAGGGTATCAATCACAGTTATCACTATGTCTATAACGATGGTGGCCTCCCAGAATTACAGGTTGGGGAAAAGTTTGGAAAAATACAGTATACAATCAAAAATAAATGGTTGAACACAACTTTTTTAATCCTGTATAACATAGTTTAGATAAGTGAGGTTTAGCTAACAATTAAGGACCTCTGTAATTGATGTGGTTACTGACATCCCCTTGTTCAAACCATAGGCAGTTTCTGTAAAATAGAGAGGTGCCCTTTCTGCAATTATGTGTTGTCTGAATAAATCTATGGGATTAACTACTCTGTTTCTAAACAGAATGCTTTTTTGATTTACCTCTAAATACCTAGAAATACAAGAATGCTAGGCCTAATCATTTTTTTCCATGTAATTTACATCACTAATCAAATTTTTTTTGGTCCAAGAACCACTGCTGTTTCAAAAAGAAAAGACTAGACTGCTTTAAGGAGTTTACATTCTGATGGGGGATAAGTATAAGAAGAAATGAGGGGGAAATTCAAGGCAGTAAAATCTAGTACTGAAATGAACAGCACAACACTTTGAGGGCCACCAGAAATAAAAAGGAGAACTCAAAGTCAGCTGTTTAATCAGCGCAGCCTTCATGGTGGAGTTGAGAGTTGAGCATGGCACTGAAGAATGGCCAGCATTTAAACAGAGAGTGACGCAGTAGGCAGTACAGGAAAACGGCATGAGCAGAAGCAAAGGATTTATTAAAGGCTCACACTGTAAGTGGCACTCATCTTGATGTCTGACTGAGTTTACAGAATAGATGCTTATCTGTCCTCACAGAGTTTACATTCTAAGGATATCATGACACAGACATACATCAAGACCTGTAGCTAAAAGGAATGGAACAAACCCTGATTTATTCAGGGCGGCTGCGCAGAAAAGAGGCACAGCAGATCTGACTGCTATCCTTTGAAAGGCCCGCCTACAAGGCTGGCCCTTGGCAGGCAGCTGAAACTTGGATTTGGGGGAGGTTCACCCCACTCCCACACTGTAGCTCACTGTGCAAACAACATGGTTATGCTGAACACCTGCCTTCCTTCTGGGAGTCTGGGATTTTGGTACGTGTCAGGCAGAGACTGCTTATGTGACTAGCCGCTAGTAAAAACCTGGGCATTGAGCTTCCCTGGCAGATAACATTTCTCACATGCTGTCACAACTTGTTGCTGGGAAAATTAAGCACATCTTGTGTGACTTCACTGGGAGAGCACTCTGGAAGCTTGAGCCTGCTTTTCCCTAGGCTTTGTTCCATGCCCTTTCCCTTCGCTGATTTTGCTTTGTATTCTTTCACTGTAGTAACTCTGACCCGTGAGTACAACTCTGTGCTGCACCCTGGGAGTCCTCCTGGTGAATCACTGAACTTGGGTGTGGTCTTAGGCACAAAAGGCCACAGACAACTATCAACAATTTAGGAGAAAAGATATGTAGGAATGGCCAGTGACTGCAAATAGCTGATGTGAACAGTTACTATGTATAATTATCACTCACTATTTAAATTTTCTGTGCGTAAAAACTAAAAAAAAAAATGCAATCTAGTTATTAAGATAATCTGAGTTCTACCAACTGTTTCTTCAGCTAAAGGTACAAATAAAAGAACTCCCTGATATTCCTCTGGAGAACATATTCTATTTCAGTAGCCTTCAGACAGAAAAGTAAGTATGACCTCTTATTTCTGGACTCATATGAATCTTGTGGTTAACAGTAACATAAATGTAGTTCCAGAGTTACAAAACTACCCTACAGAGTGATCCATTCTATTTATTTCTCTTTCTAAGAGAGTATTTGGGACCCAAGTCCTTATTTAAAGACAATCTCAAAGACAGGAGAAAATGTTGCTGAAAAGGATGATAATTTCATGTATAATGGAGCTATGTATTTTCAAGGAGGGAGAAAAGGAAGATGCTGAAGTCAGTAGTGTACAAATGGAATCAAGAACTCAAAACAGATGGTGTCCTGAGTATTTAAGAGAAGGCAAAGAGCCGAGCAGAAAGCTTTTACAGAACCAGTGTACCCCACATAGTTTTTGCCAAGTGGTTTTCAAACATTAATGCTCATCAGAATCACCTAGAGGGCTTGTTAAAACTCACATGGAGGGGCCTAGGCCTATAAATTCTGATCCAGTAAGTCTAGGGTGGGGCCTAAGAACCTGCATTTTGAATAAGTTCCCAAGTGATGCTGATGCTGCTTGTCTGGGGACTACAGTTTGAGAAACAGCATTGTAGGCAAAATTTAAAAACAAAACAAAACACCTCCATCTCTTTCTAGTGCAATAAGAGATCAATTTATTGTTGATGAAGAACTCATACTATTATATCAAACCCAGACCAATCTGAACAAATGCAGATAATAACAATGCAGCTCTGAAAATAATTCAGAAGGTGATGGTATTTCAGACACTTGATATGGCATCAACACGGTGCTTTTCAGGGGCTGGCCCTGTGGCTGAGTGGTTAAGTTTGCGCGCTCCGCTTCGGCGGCCCAGGATTTCGCTGGTTTGGATCCTGGGCGTGGACATGGCACTGCTCACTGGGCCATGCTGAGGCGGCGTCTCAGATGCCACAACTGGAAGGACCCACAACTAAAAATAGACAACTATGTACCGGGGGCCTTTGGGGAGAACAAGGAAAAATAAAATCTTCAAACAAACAAACAAAACACAAAAAAACCAAGGCGCTTTTCCATCAAAAGATTCAGTCTAATGTTCTTTAAGAACAGGGCATACAGTATTACAAGTAACAGAGGTTTATGGTATTATTAAATAAAATCATCAAAATGACAGTAACAATCAAGCATGAACAGAACCACCCTATAATACACCTTTATTTATTTAAAAAGATTTTTATTTTTCCATCTTCTCTCCAAAGCCCCCCAGTACATAGTTGTATATTTTAGTTGTGGGTTCTTCTAGTTGTGGCATGTGGGATGCTGCCTCAGCATGACCTGATGAGCGGTGCTAGGTCCGCGCCCAGGATCTGAACCTGGGAAACCCTGGGGTGCCAAAGTGGAGTGCGCAAACTTAACCACTCGGCCATGGGGCCGGCCCCTATAATACACCTTTTAAAATTTAGTTCCTTCTTTCGGAATCCGAAAGAACATCTCTTTTCTAGTTTAACTATATCACTGCAAGAAAGGCTTTGGGCTTTGCCTTATATTACGGAGGGGGATTGGTCCAAGGATGTAAAAAGCCAGCAGAGTCTTACTTTCAAAAGCAGTAAGCCCAGTCTTAATAACAAAAAGAAAAGAAAAAGGCTTAAGATTTGCTTAGTGAAAGAGTTGTGATCATTGAGTGTTTGTGCCAATTTGAGGAGAATTTTTATATATACATTTGTGTAATGTGTTAGACTCACATAGGTATAAGATCACACCCCTCATTTCATATCCTCTTCTGAGAACTCGATTTCAATTCCTGCCTTTGTATAGAATTTCTGGAAGGAGAGCAGCAACAATTTTTATAACACTTGCCTCAAAATGTGAGAACAGGACTGGCCAACACTAAGACATTTCTTGTCTCAGTACTACTCAGGGACCCTTTTGGTCCCCAAATACCCACAGGCCTCTCGGGTAATAAAAACTCCAAAATATTCACTCTTGAACATTGTGAATACTGCAAGGCCAAAACCAAGTTTAACACTTTCCCAGAACACTTTCAAGCAGAAAATACTGAGGGATTAATGCAGGGGGTAGGCTGTCCTCTTTTTAAACCTGACTTGTGCAAAAAGAAGGCACTGACTAGTGCCAACGGAGCTGCGATATCCACCCTAAGGAATGCAGGGAGTATGCTGGCACCTTACCTAACTTGAAATTTTATCCAATTATCCAAAAGAATGTTTTCAAGCAAGTACAACCCTGATTATTGGTTCTCACTGCACACAGAAACACGCTCTGCTCCCTGCCCCTGCTGCTCCTCCAGGCACTGGCAGGAGGATGACAGATGGGTGTGCTGGCACCTTCTCCCCTGGTAAATGTGCCCACACAGCAGTTTGCTCACTTTCTGTCACAGTAAGTGCTTTATGTGAGTGCCGGCACTTCTCTCAGCAATCACGTTCTGTAGCACTTTTCAACTGAACCCTAACCAGGTGCAAATGAACTCCTGTCCTGCTTGTCCGCACTCTGTGCAGTGGGTAGTTACGGTGACATAACTAAGCAGGGGTATCTCCTTTTCTTTTTTGCCTTAAGGGACATTGGCAAATTATCGTGAAAGCAAAAATACTCAGGACAGAAAAATTCTGAAGATTGTTTATGATAAAAAAACCTTAAAAATCCTATTGCAGGTATTTGTTTTTTAATCATTTTTAAAGGCTTGGGAATTGTATCTTTCACAACTCTGAATA